GAAACTCTGAGAAGCTGTTGAGTAGCGTGGTTTGTATGCCAGGCTGTGTCCCTGCACCCAGGCATGTAGCACAATGGCATAGCTCGCCAGCCTTACTCTGTCCTGCACTTTCTTGTGTTGAACCCTAAGGCTGCTGCTTTCTCTCTGCAGTGCCAGTTGTTTCTCCAAATATGAAGAAGCGAGGAAGGAAATTAATAGACAGAGGCAGGGCAATAAAACAATGAATGAAATTCAGTGTAGATAAGTGTAAAGTGATGTGCAGCAGGGACAGGGAGATTAATAACGTGAATATCACATACAAAATAATGTGTTCTGACTGATCATTACCACAGAACTAAGATCCTGGGCTTGTTGAAATTGCCAGCTCAGCTGAAAACCAAATGGAAAAAATAATTATGCCACTGATTAAAGCTGTGGTGCGTCTGCATGTTGGCTGTTGTGTGTATTTTGCATGCACGATCCCTTCGTTCCAAAAAAGGTAGAGTAGAACTGGAAAGATTCAGAAAAGTGTAGTAAGGATGCACCTGGAACAGCTTGTCTAAGGAGGCAAACTAAGCACACTATGAATGTAACCTGAAAAGGAGGCAACTGAGATGGGATCATAGGTGCCTATAAAATCAGGAATGATGTGGAAAAGGCAACTGGGGATCAATTGTTCGCTGTCTCTTCTAGTGCGAGAATCAGGGGAGCTCTAAAGGCAAGGGGCAAGTTCAAAAAAAAAGGAAAAGAAACGCTTCCTCACACAGTATGTGTCTGAACTCTGAAGCTACCTTGCTACAGGTTCAAAAGCAAACTGGACAGACTCCTGGGGCAGTGCTATAGGTGGTATTGGTCTGTATGACAGCTGAGTTAAGGTTCCTGGGAACCACACACCAAACCTCAGTCACCTCCAGTCCCTGTCTTAGGATCCAGAAGTGGGATATCATCATCTCTCACATGGGGCTGGAGACCCTCATCATGCAGCGCTAAAAAAGAAGCTCCTCCAGTTCCTCAAGCATTAAAAAATGGCAGGTTTGGTAATCAGCAGTGTTTTCCAGGTAGCAAGCAATAATTTACCTTTCTCTCTCAGTCCTCCCTCCAGATGGCAATGTACTGGCCAGGTGCCTGCCCTCATCTTTTGCCTTAAGTGTGTAAGGGCATAAGCCTGAAGTTGCTCCCAGACAAGTGATCCTTCCTCCAAGCAGAACAGAAGCGTGCTGTCCTTCCAAACTCCCAGCTAACCTGGGGGGATGTGTCTGCATATCGCTGAGTTAGTCTTCTCATCAGCGTTAGTTGCCCTGCACCACAAAAATACTTCATTTTCATCGTTGTAGGTAAAATCTTGATGTAGCTTAATCTTTTCTCACAATTTTCAATCTCTTGGATTAAAAGATTCCAGTTTCCTCTGTACCCCAGGCCAAATGCTACTTAAGCGTCAGTGTAAAACAGGCCAAACTTCAATGTTCTTGGAAAGAAGGAAAAGAGATGGGATGGAAAAAAAATCTTAAACAGTTTTAAGTAAATAGTTTTCTTTTAAGAATGCTGTGACTTGAAGGATTTAGGAAAGGGTAGCTGAAATCTGTTGAGAGAGTGATCCTGTGGGTGTAGGGTTATATGCATTTGACTTGGCCTTAGGTTTGATTTTTCTTTTAATTGTTGGGGGCCAGGGGAGCAGGGGCTAATCAAAACAAAAATCAGACCCCAAAAATCTGCACTTCTGCTCCTCTGTGGACATGACACGGGCATTTTTAAGTGGTGTTCACTGCTGCGTTAGCAAGAGGAACATTCAGTGTATGTTTGGTTTTGCTTGTGGGGTGTTGGAGGTACAAAGGCACGCTGCAGGTGCAGTGGGTTTGGTCGCTGTCTGTCCTGCAGCAATCTGGGTGCAACTAGGTCCCGGATGGCAGCAGGACTCAGACTGCAGCCTTCCTCTTGGAGGGGGAAAATTTGTAACTAGGCTTGGCCTGTTTTAAAAGTGCATGTGGTCATCTTAACTCTGTCAGTGATAATAGGCCCTAAACGCATATGCATTTTTCCTTCATGCATAATGCTGCTTCATATTTAGGATTATTTAGCTTACCCATTACCTCAGTTGTCTGAGGACACACTGTAAAAAAACTATAGAAAAGGCATTTTAGGCTATGCGAATGACTTCAACGTAAGGAAAGCATGACTAAGGGCTGAGAGAATGCGCAATGAAAATTACCCTCTTCGGGCTGAAGAAAATTCCCAGAAAAACTAGGCATGCGGGAAATGCCTGGCCCTTAATGTAGCTGGTCATACAACGTTTGTGGGCAGAAAGCCAGCCCTCCGCAAATGCATTGTGCGAGTGCTATAGTCTTTGTAAACTTGTCATTTCCAAAAAAATACATGTTTGGGGTGTGTATCTGATAGAAAATACAACCAAAGGACCTTGCTTTTATCTCTTTCTCTGCCGTGGAGTCCCATCTGGCCAGGCACATGTGCTCAGTGACTTTACATAACACAAGTATGGAAAACCCCACAGGTCTTTAAAATAACCAGATTGCGTCACATTGGTGCATTTCTGTTGCATCTAGAGCCTCCCTATGGGGCCGGTTTGGGGCATTAGTGCCTGGGTGCTCTCTCAAGAAAGTGGTTTTTGACATTTTACTTCAACATGCAGGCACAGTTGTAACAGTGATAAAAGCTTGCAGATATGATTTCCTTCTTACCTTAAGAGCCGAGGAAGAGAGTAATCTTGTATTGTCAAACCTCCAGTTACTAATAAATGCTTTCTTGTGGTGGTGTTCGAGCTAGCTGAGATCCCATTCCCACTGTCACAGCTACTCAAACTCCCGTGCTGCCTCATTTCACTTTCCCACTCATTTTTTCTCATTTGTTTCTGAATTAATTCAGCCACCATTTCTGTGCTTTTTAATCTTGAAAACAGTCCTCCTAACATGCCCTCGCCATCATCTCCCAGGGTCCCCAAAGCTGGTTCCTGAGGCACAGCCAGGGCCCTGCCACTTGTTCTCCATTTCTGCTCGCTGCTGCTGTTCTCACTTCAGCATTTTACAGAAGCAAATGAATGGGAGATGTGTCCGTACCCTTCTGCTTAAGAATTCATTCATAATTTCATATGGAAATGTTTCACAGTGATTCACAATATATTTCTGATGAATGAGCTGTTCCTACAGAAAACCTACAATATTGGGATTCTGTTTCTAACAAGGACTGGAGAAAGCACAACTGTTTGGGAGCTGAGTGAAATCCAGGTGTGGTGGCTTTTCCTCTACTGATACGTGTATTTTAGTGCATATTTAATAAATATGTTTCCTTAACTGAGACTTAAAAAGATTATGTGGGCAAGAAGAGAGAAGCTGCAGGTAGAGGATGAGTCTGCTGGCTCTGGTTACCAGGGAGAAGAGTTGCACTGCATGCAGGCATGGCACCTGCTGCTAGATGTCTGCAACATCAAGGAAAGCGTAATAAAATACATCTTGGCAACATAACAGAAACAAAAATATAAATAGGAAGGTCAACCATGGTAAGCACAGTAATAAAAATACATCCGGTGAAGTAAAGGTGCAAGGATTTTTCCCCAGAAAAACACATTAACCTTTTATGGAGGTAGATGTGAACTTGGAAGCTCAGGAGAGTTTCACAACTTCAGAAAGAACAAGAAATGACAATCTGATAACACTTCCTCAAGAATGCGTGGCATTCTTCATTGTGAATTTCATGTTCTCTGAGGGATGTGGATGACTCAGGCTACAACATGAAAAATGTATCCAGACCTATAAAGGAATTACTTACTGTAAGTGTGTGCTAGCGTGAGTTGCTTTGTTGCTTCCCAATATGTTGTAGATCCTTTTTATAATTCAGTTCCATATAGTATTTTTTTTATGAATGAGAAGTACTACAAATGAATGACCTTGCAAATAATTTAATGATAAACTTAACTGTGCCTGAAATTGAAGTCTGCTCTCTACTACGCGATGTAAATCTGTGGGGTCTCCCTGAGGAGGGAATTTAGTTGAAAAATTTTGTTAACAGAGTATCAGTTTATTTTTAAGATAATATTAGTGTATTTTTAAGCTGAAAAAAAGCCTTTTCTTTCTGTTTGCATCTTTGCAATGTATGTAATAGAGGGGCTAGGAGAGAAACTGAAACACTTGAATTTGCTTAGGCTTTCAGTAGGACCAAAGTTTTTGACTCTGAGCTTTGTTCACTTTGTGTTATTCTCGGTCTCTGTCAGGGTGAGGCTCATGTAAAGCTGTAGCAGTACAATGGGGAGTTGGGCGTCTTGTCTCCAGGCTTTTCCCATCTTTATTAAAAAGTTGAGCCTGATCCAAAACATGGGATCTCAGGCTTCTTGTGTGCTGAGAGTCTCTGTCTCTGAAATTCCAACCAGGATCCAAATTTGTGTATGAGCCCTATATTTATAACCCAAACCTCTGAAACCCACTAGCTTTACTGTTCTGAGGAGGTTATTGTGTTGTCCCCTTGGGAACGAGGATTAGCACAGACGTGCCTTCTCGCTCCCTGGCACAGGTGCTTAGTGAAAGAGTAACTGCTTGGAAGGCAGAAAGGAGGTCCCTGAAAAGAATTAAGATTGGGCTGATAGCCAGGCTGGGAACTGTTCCTGTCCTGTTTGTGTTAATTCATGCTCATTTTATAAATATTGAATGATGGCTGCTTTTTTTGAAGGTGCTGAGCACCTATAGTTTCCATCAATGTGGGCAGGGGTTTTGCATACTCAATGCACATTCCTTGAGGAAAAGAACCCACGGAGGATACTTACTGAGTGCCCTGCTTAATCCTGCTGCTTGCAGGAACCATTTCACAAAGGTTTTCTACGGCTCATTTCAGTTAGGGTTAGTTGATTCTTCCTTGAAGGGCAGAGATGAAAAGAGATCTCCTTACTTGCTGAATAGCAAAATGGCCCTTGGCTGACTTGGCAATCACTATTAGATATTTTTTGGAGGCTCTGTTCTCCCATTTGTTAGGGGCTGCTAATGTGTTTGGTCTAAATAGCTGTGCTTTGTGTCTCCTGGCAGACCATGCAACAGATGAGCGACCACCGCTATGACAAGCTGACGGTACCCGACGATGCCGCAGCAAACTGCATTTACTTAAACATTCCCAGCAAAGGCCATGTCCTGCTGCACCGAGCCCCCGAGGAGTACCCAGAGAGTGCAAAGGTGAGCGCCGTGCTGGGGGTGCCTGGGAGACCCCCAGCATCCTGGCCTTGCTGGGAAGTCCGTGGGGCTTGAAATCATTCAGGACATGGTTTAGCGGGCATGGTTGATGGTTGGACTCGATGATCTTGAAGGTCTTTTCCAACCTAAATGATTCTACGATTCTATGATCAGGTGCTTTCTAGAATGGACTGTTGTATCCCTTCAGGGAAGTATCAGATGGCAAAAGGTGGGAGGCCTGGACTTTGTTCTCATCTCCACTACCGATTTAATTACTTTGTCTCTTGTGCCCCTGGTGCTTCTTCTGCATAACTGGACATAGCAACAGTTCCCCTCATTGCAGTTGTGATGTTAGCGTTGATTACAAATGATGAGATGGCTTAGCACCCGCTGATAAAGCAATCCATGGCTGTTCCTTCTGTAAATAGTTAGAGAAAAGGGAAAATAGAGAGGCATAAAGTGTAACAATTCTGTTCCGTTTTCTTTCCTAAACAGGTATTTGAAAAACTGAAGGACCACATGCTGATCCCAATAGCCAACACAGAACTGGATAAAGTAGATGGGTCACTCACCTGTTGCTCTGTGCTTATTAACAAAACTTCAGAATTATGAGTTTACAGAGTCCCTCCCTTGTAACTGGCAATAATGTTACACACAAGGTAGACGAATCTGTATCCACACTTTTATTGTTTTTATTGACAATCTACTGTACCACTGTGCTACTAACCCTTGTTTACAAATTTTTTGCTTTGTGTATTTTTATGTCCTTGCAGATAGTATTTAAGGTGGATATACGGTTCGCTGGGGGGCACATAACTTGAAGTATGCTAGTCCCGTGGGCTAGCAGAAGACAATTATAATGGCTAACCCCTAGTATTAGTGGTTTAACATATCTATGTGAAAACTTTGTGAAAACCAACTAATTCTCAACATTTCAAGCACCTCTGTTGTCTTGACACTGTTCCCTTCTCCTATCTTTTTTCTCTTGCTTCCTTGCTCTGCATCTTTTTTTCCTTCCTCGGTCCTCTTTCAGTGATGCAAGGTGTCAGGGGGGACTAAAGAAAACTCAGTGGGCTCATGAACTTGGTATCTTGTGTGGTAGGGAAGTTTTCCCTTTCCATACACTAGCTGGAACAGTGGGCAATGGACTGTGCTCGCTGTCTCTGCCATATCACGTTGCTGCTGCTGGGCAGAGTTGTGGCTGGAATCGATTTCAGATGCCAGGTAGCAACTTTGGAAAAAGCTTACTCCGACGGGAGCGTTCAAGGGCAATGTCTGCCTGGGAAACTTGAATGACAGAAAAAGAGGGAACAATGCAGCCACACAAGATACATCCTGCAAGTTCAGGTCCCAGTTTGCTGCTAATGCTTTGACTTTCAATTTGGTGAGAATGGAAGAGGAGTTTTTAAAAAGGCCAGATCCCAGGGAGCACCCGGGCCACAAAAATGAAAGACTGAGATGCTTTTGGAAAAGTTAAACCTACGAATGTAATCTAAAATATGGGGGGTGTTAATTCTCTTTATTTACTTTTAAAATTTATTTCTGTCTCTCCTTTCTGTTTTCTCCTCTTTTGGAGGCCACTTACTAGCAAAATTCAAAAGGAAAAGGTGATAGAAGGAGTTGAAGGACAGCTATTCCTGGATTATGCTCATGAATAAGGGAAGCTATTTTTTCCTGAAAGATTGGCCTTTGTACTTTATCTGCCTTTGGGGCAGTTTTCCTTGGAACGATAACAATCTTATTTTTTTTAATTGCATGAATATTTACTGTGGTATTCAGTTAAAACAAATACAATTTTTGTAGCAAATTCCACAACATGTTTACCCACTGAGTCATACTTTTTTTTACCACAGTAGAGTGAAGCATACCCCATTGTATTCACATGCTTCTTGTTAAATCACTTGTAAACTAAGGATGGAGAAATTCCCAAACAGAGGCAGTAGTGGGAACTCTCCAGAGACTGACAAATAGTCTGAACATGTTATCAACTTCCTAGACATCTCCTCCACCTTTCCTGAACCACTCGTGGCGTGTTGCTAAGGTACAGTAGGAAGCGAGCAGGGGGGGCACAGGCAATGTGGTCTGCAGGAAGGCAAACAGTATTAATCAAGCACACACTTGGATATTCTTTGGAAACCTGCGTGCTTTTGTGTGCAGTCATAACGGAGGAATCACAAGTACTCATATCCGTAGGTACTCCTCAGCGTATCTCTCACTTCGTCTCAGTGGCTAAGGAGGAGGAAACCTCCTGGAAGCTACCAGAATACATCTGATGCATTGTAGGCACTCTGTATGTTGTGATGACATGAGGTATCATGAGGGAGAGAACAATGACGAGCAAATATAACGTATGTAAAAAGAGAGCATGTCCCAAAGGAAGTCTTTAGCCAGCCAAACAGCAAGTGCTGTTTTTATGGCTGTGTGCTGTCCCAAAGGGTTCTCCTAATGTTTCTCCTTTGTCTCCTCCATTCCCATGTGCTATCATTTAAGCCTGACCCAGATGATCAGGCTCTAAGGATGTAAACATTGCAGTGGGGAATCTATTTTTCTACCTTCCCTTGGTGCTTTTAAAATATCTGATAAAGCATCTTGCATTCTAAAATGATTTGACATTAAGCAAAGATTTTGTGCCAAAAAGTGACCCTGCAGTATTTAACTGTGACCTTCTAGAGGCAAGCTGTACTCTGCTAAAAACCTATGCAGCTGTGGGAGCTGTTGTACAAAGCTGGAACAGAATCCCTCCGACCTGTCCGTGTACCTCCTGGGGCCTGGCCCCCATCCATGTCCTTCAGTCCCTCTTCCCTCCTCTCATTAGGGAGCCAGAGCATCCAACTACACTGGAACAGGGTTAGGCTGTGGCATTTCTACTCAATTCATCTCTCAGACTTTGTTGGTTTTTGTTTTTTTCTTTCTTCCACCCCCTCTCACCTTTCACCTGTCTCGCTCTTTCTGTCTCTTGTTTTAGTTTATGGAATGATGAGTGCTTTTCTCTTTTAACCCCAAGTGGTTTTGCCTTCTGTTGCTTCAGTTCTCCTGCTTGAGTCTTCTTTTTCTGTACTCCTCCCTCCTCGCTGTTCACTCCAAAGTACCCCAACCCATGGTGGACTATCCTAAACTCACTCCCTCCTTGAGTAGATGCCAGGAGGGAAGAGAAACTGAGGGGTCCGCTTTGGCTCTGAGCGACTTTCTCTGAGCTGGAAGGATGACTGTCAACAGGAGCTATAGATCCAGAGAGTGACAAGGGTGACTCCTCTTCTTCAGGGTTACTCCAGAAAAGAGAAATATTTGTGGTGGACATTGTTGATATCTCGTGTCCCTGAAAGCAATAGAATAGGTGACAATTAATTTCCCTGGCTCCCCAAGGGAGGGAGAGGGGGAGTCAGGATCTCAGAGCTGAGAAACCTCTGTGTTGACAGACATGTTGGTCTTTCATCTGTTGCCATTTAGGTTTCCTTGGCTTCAAGGCTGCATTTTGGTATACAGAAAGAGCAAGGGTGTGGCTGAGGGACCTGAATTCCCTCAGGTGGTGATTTCAAGTTGTATTCAAACTGTCTAACTTCAAGCACAGAATTTAGGTGCTCTAAATCACACCTGCTTTTTCTCTGTTGGTCTCAGTAGGTATCATAGTCTCCTAACATAGACACTCTGAATTACATCTTAGCCTGATGCCAAAAGTTACCTAAGCTGGTTATTGGGATTGCCCTCACCTCTCCACTTTTAGTGTTATTTTTTATTCTGGCATTATAAAGCAAAAACATTAAGAGCACTTCAGTTTGTGCATTTGCAGTATGGTACTAAGAACTAAATTAATGCCAAATGCTTCTTGTTCTTAGCATTTTGCTGTTTTCCATTTTTTCTGTTGCCTAAACGAAGAATTCAGTTGTGAGGACGTTTCTGCTGTGATACATATGCCTGTAATGGGCATCCTGTACATCTTGTCACCAGAACATTTCTCAGATGCCTGATATAAATCATCATCCTTGATTAATATAAATAATAAAATAAAATCCCAAACCAAAAAAGGAGATGAGACACTGAACACTAATAGCTGCCCACATAAAGCACTTGATAACAACCGTCAGGCTATATGACATAGCAGGCCAGTGCAGAAGTTCTTGTGGTTAATAGCTCAGCAATGGGGCTTGAATTACTCATCAAAGGTTTTTTTTCCTTTGAGCAATCAGTTTAGCTCAGTTCAAATGAGAGCTACAACGTGCGTTATAGATCTTTCACAGATGTTCTCTTTGCGAAGAATTTAGGGAGAGCTGTGATATGTGGGTTTCTTTCTTCACCAGAACGTGAATACAGTGTCTCTCTCTGCAGTGAAAATGTGAATGCATACTGTACCTTATAAGATAAACTTGAATTCTTCCATTTCTGCATTTTTGTCTTTTCCATGCTAATGTACTCCTTTGCAGTCTTAAATAGATGCCACTGTATGAAGCTATGCTCTGATTAATTTGCTGATTTCCATGTGATAGTTACAGAGCTCATAAGCAACACTATGTCCAGTTTTAAAAACAAAAAGTCAGTGCACAGAATGCTGTTTGTTCACAGCAAATTGAGGATGAAATATGGACAAAAAATGAGCTTTTGATTTCATTCAGCTTCTTATACATTATATCAGTGAAGTTAGAGCCAAATTGCTTTGGTAGAAAACATCAATATTCACATGGAACCATTTGAGGAAAATAGTTTACTATTTAAGATTCTTTATTTTTGCTTTTATCAATAAGGAAGCTGAAAAGATAAGACTGCTTATAGAATGGTATTTGTTAAGTGATTGCGAACAAAGTATCATTGGACCTCATGTATTTTCAGAAACGTTTTAACTGGATGTATGATGTAACTTGTATAGAGTTGCATGTGAATTGTGTTAGTCACTGTTATACATTGTATTGTTCTGCAGTGCACAAATATGACTACTGAACACAGAAGTGTTACATTTCATTAATTAAAATCTTGTTGCGGTATATAGTTCCCCACTTTTTGTGCCAAAAACATCAATACATTCCATAATCTGTTCTAATAGAGGTTTGCACTTTTTTTTTTGTGACTCTTGCAGTTTCAATACTATATATCCCCATCACGAAGGAATAAAATGTGAGTTGTACTGTGCACTGTGTAGTTTTTGCCTCTTGGTTTTGAAACTGAATGTATATGCATTTAATTTAATACTGTTTCATGCCATCTTTTTATTTGGAAGCTTGTTACATGCCTAGAAATAAAGCCAATTATAGACACTAGTGCTAAACCTTTAAACCTGTTAGAAGAAATCTTGACTCTTTAAAAACAGATCATGATTTCAGATTCTACATTTGAGAATAATGTATAGAGAGGATATATTGCCTATGTGTTCTAGATACAATGGTTGTGACTAAATTTTATTATTGTCCAAGATAACTAAACAGATGTTACTGTAGTATAGTATTTTCTCTGTAGTTCCTGTATCTACTCTAAGTTACAAAAGGTGAAACTACAAAGGTTTAGTGGCATGACCGTTATGGTTAAATTATTCACGTAGCTCTCTGCCTTTTCTACCCCAGGATGTCATGAGAGGTGACTACATTTCAGACATTGCTTTGTGGTAACGTGACAGATGGTCGCATGTTTTATATCTAAATCCTACTTCTTGTGTGCTACAAATACTGCATGTGGGGCTAATCTCTGCTTGTACCCTTGTGCTCGAATATCATTAGGTTATGATACTAGGATTAAATGGTCTCCGGAGACAATGCAGTTACTCTAGGCTTCGTGGACGGGTGTCTAAGTGCTCATGGGCCTTCAGTGCCACCTTGTGGCAATCCAAGATTCAATTGTTCAAGGCCTCCATATTGTTGCTTCAACTTAAGAAACCCAACATAAATTAACAGTACTGTAGCAAAAGAATTACATCACTTCCAAACTGTACAGCTTTGCTAGTACATAATCTAATACGCTTCTTGCTGGAGAGGCAGGGACAAAGAAAGATTTCATGAAGGCTGATCTAAATGCAGCCTTTGTACTAATTTAACTACACTGGTTAAAAGTATGACTTTTATACTAAATATTTGAATCAATGCTACATCTAATGTGGATACATCTAGCTTGGTGCAATTAATATAGTAAACTAATGCATTTACATGCATCTTTGTGTACCCATATCTACAGGAAAGTGTTGGTACCAATTTACTTGAATTTGTTTCTAAATGGCAATAATTAAAAATAACAAAAGCTATACAAGCCACTCTCAGTCGCCACATTAAGAAGCTTCTCATAGAATATCAAAACCTTCAAAAGCAAAAGCATAACAGTCATTTAAAAAGGAGTGCCCTTTGCAAAATTTAGCTGTAGAATATTACTTCAGCAAGTAGAGACTTCTGCACTTGGGTGTATGAATTCGCTCTCCGCTGTAAGTACACCCTGCCAAAAAAGCATCAGTCACAGTCCCCTGCATTATAAAGTCCAGACATTCTGATGCTCTCAGCAACCTCACCGCCAAAAATTCATGAGCTGTAGGTT